CTTTGGTTTCATCCTATTTTAAATTGACCCGAATCGCGAATGTGAAGGGGATGAGGATGAGGAGGGGGAAGGGGGGGGAGGAGGGGGGGGGGCAAATAATTTTGTTTCTAGAAAAAAAAAGAACAATAATTTCAATTTTTTATTTTGTCGTTGTTTCATTACGTTTGATCGTGACCTGAACTCTTTTTTTTTTTTTTTTAAATCCGATTATCTAGAAAGAAATTGAATTTTTTTTTTTTTTTTTTTACTGATAATATGACATTGAGAGTTGTTCGTGGGTTTTTATTAATAAAAATTTATTATTATTATTATTATTATCGAAATCATTATCATCATCATCATCATCATCGTAAATACGTAATTCTTCTAGAGTAATTCAGTTTTTGTTATTATTATTTTTTTTTTTTTTGTAAAGTATTTAAAAAAAAATTTCAATTAAACGTGAAAATAGTTTTTTTTTTTCTCTCTCTCTCTCTCTCTCTCTCTCGCTACTTGTTCGTATTATCAGGTTGTCTATTATCTTTTGTCTGGTTGTAAAGTGCGTGTGCGTGTGCGTGTGCGTGTGTTTATAAAAAAAAAACAAATGAAGGAAATTATTTACTTGTTATCACTCTGCCTCTTCTCTTGCGAATATGAAAATTTTTACAAAATTTAATTGATTCCTTAGGAAAATAAAAAAAAATAAGAAAAACAAACAAAAAGGTGTGTTTTGTATAAGGAAGGAGAATTGTTGTTGTTGTTGTTTGTCTGTTTGTAATCTTACAAATGTGTAGTAGGAAAGTCAATTATCGCGGATTCAATAGCTTTTTTTTTTTTTTTTTTTATTTTTTTTTTTTATTATTTTTCACCGGGAAGCAAAAAAAAAATTGTTTACTCCTGACGTTACGTAATAAAGCTTCGTTATGTTCGCGTAATTTTTAATTTTTATTATTATTATTATTATTATTATTATTATTATTATTATTATTATCGTTTTTCACGCTCGAAAAAATTTCGCGTTAATTATATTTTTTTTAAATAAAAAAAAAAAAAATTACAAACAAACAAACAAACAATCTCGGATGTTATTATTTATTTTTTTTTTTTTGTTTGTTGTTTCTCATCGACTTAGCTCGCGAGGAAAAAGGTTTTTTTTTTTTTTTTGGGGGGGGGAAAGGGGAGAGAAAGGAAAAGAGGTGTAAATAAAAAAAAAAAAGTCAATAACGCAAAGGATTTGACGTGGTGGTGGTAGTGGTAGGAGGTGGAAGAGTGAAAGCGTTTTTTTTAAAAAAAAAAAAAGGTCGGATGGGAAAAAGTAAAAATAAAAAAGAAAAAAAAAAAGATGGACGACGGGGAACAAACGAGACAGGGGCCAAAAAAATTTTTTTTGCATATAAATGAGAAGAGGTTCGAAGGGAAAATTGTCGCGCATCGTACGACGAATTAAATGATCGTTTTATTCGTTTTGTCGTTGTTGACACAGATTTTTTGGGTTTGTCGTTATCTCCTAGTGACATTAATAACTTTTTGTAACCTATTTAAATTTCATTCTTTTCTTTTCATCATTTGAATAAAAGAGTTTATTTATAAATAAATTTTCTTTTGTAAAATCCCGGCAGTGTGTAAAGAACAAGAGAGAGAGAGAGAGAGAGAGAGAATGAAAGGACTAATAAAAGTCGCTATCGATAATTATTTAAGTAAAAAGGATGGAAGGTTGTTTGTTATACGAAAACACGCGCACACGCACGCACGCACGCACGCACAAATCGTTTTGTAAATGTCAACCTCGTTCGACGTCGTTTTTTAATAAAAAAAATTTTTTTTTTTTGTTTGATTGTCGAGAGTAAATCTCATTTAAAATAATAATAATAATAATAATAATAATAATAATAATAATAATAACTAATAATTTAAATAATTATTTTGCTTTGTTAATTTTAATTTAACTGGGAGTCGGGAGCTGGGAGGGGGGGGAAAGGGGGGAAAAAACAATTTTGTTAAGAATTTAAATTGATTTTATTATTATTATTTTTTTTTTTCGTGAGGAAAAGAGAAAGAGAGAGAAAGAGTGTGTGTGTGAGAGAGAGAAAAAAACCGAAAAATAAATTTAAATGTGTGTGAATTTTTTTTTATTTAAGTTTTACATAATTCAATATTGAAAAAATAAAAAAAAAAAGAAAGAAAAAAAGAAAATTTTCTTTTTTTTTTTTTTTTTTTTTTTGTTTCAATGGCGGATGATTTTGGCATTAAGCCCGAAAATGTTGAGGCCATGAGAATTTTAATGTTGGAATAATCGTGGATATCAATCATCGACGAATTCACCATTTTTTCTTTTCTTTTATTTTTCCACGTTTATTTTTTTTATTTTTTTTTTTTTTTGATATTAAAATATTTTGCAAATGGCGGGGAGAGGTCGAATTTCGCGCGTTTTTTTTTTTTTTTTGGAATCGTCCGTTTGTCCGTTCGTTCGTCTCGTTGTACAAATAATAAAATGACATTAAACACTTTTTAAAATGATTATTCGTTTTGCCAAATGAAAGAAATATTTCATTGCTTTAAAAATGAGAAAATCATATTGAATTGCCGGAAACAATTTTGTTGTTGTCGTTGTTGTTGTTTCTTTCTTTAATACTCACACGAAGATTACGATGGTTGAATAATGTGATTTTAAATTTCTTATTGTTTGTTTGTTTGTTTGTTAAACAATCGTTGGGGGGTCGGTCGAGCATGAGTTGAATGTTGTTGTTGTCGGACATTTAAACAAAAAACAAACTTTTTTTTTTTTTTTCGTTTTTTACGTTTTTTTTTTTTTTTTTTTTTCCCTGCCAAAACCTGACGAAATTTTTTAACGATACCTGTTGCTCTTATTATTATTATTATTATTATTATTATTATTATTATTATTATTATTATTTTATTAAATTTTGATTGTTAAAAATCCGCAAAAAATGGAATCGTTCCAAAAAGTTTGACGATTAGAAAATAAAAATGGCCACACAAAAAAAAAATTGTTCTTTTTTTTTTTTTTTTATAATGTTGTCGCCATTGTCGTTCAACGACGATTTCATAATTTCAAATGACGGGAGGGATTTTATTAATTCAATGTTGTTTTTTTTTTTTTTGCCCCTTTTATTAAACGACGACGAGAGCATAAACGACCGACCAAAATGATGATGATGAGAATGATAAAACACATCCAGGAGTTAATTGTTTTTAACTCATTGATTTATTTCTCTTGCCATTGGTTTAGTTTTTTGCATTTGCTAATTCATTTTTTTAATTGTAATTATTATTATTATTATTATTATTATTATTATTACCATTTCGTTTTTTTTTTTTTTTTTTTTTTCCTTATTCAAAGTTTTCCCCCCCAATGAAACGACAAAACACGTGATTTAATTTAGTTCCGGTGGCTCGTAATTGGAACATTTGGAATTTTTGCTAACGTTCCAACATTTACGTTATGTTTTACGCATGAAATTATGCGTGGATTGTTGGTAATAATGATAATGATAATGATAATTTACCTGTTGCCCTACACACCTCGGGGAAATTGTACGAAAAAAAAAAAAAAAAAAAAAAAAAAAAAAAATGGCTTCGTTTCGTAACGAATTAAATTCGAATCGAATTCATTTAATGACAAAATCGGTAGGTAGTATAAGTTTGTAGGTAGGAACGTTATTTGATAGGAGGTCGATAGGAGGTTTACAACCGATAACAGGTTTTCATGTTATCGTTTGTTCAACCGTCGGGTTTGATTTTTTTGAAAACCTGGTCGTGTTGTTTGTTGACCCCTACAACACCTAAACGTGTTTGATTTTTTTTTAAAAGGTTTTCTCGGGTTTAACTGAACGTGTTATGTAGGTTAGACCGATGCTTTCTCTTTCATTGACTGGGTTTAATGTTGTTGTTGTTGTTGTTGTTATTTTCGTCGTCGTCGTCGTCGTTTTCTTGCAGACATTTAAATGGTTCGGAAAGATTTTTTTGTTTTTGTTTTTTCGTTGCAATAATGAGTTGAAAAAAAAAAAAAAAAAAAAAAAAAAAAAATTTCGTAAAAATAAATTAAAAATTATATTATTCGTTTTACCTTTTTTTATGTTTTTTTTTTTACTTTTTTTTTGTTTTAAATCAAGCAACAACATTTACTCGATTTACATAAAATAATATCTACGACACCAGTCCAAAGAATTAATTGATGGACGTTTAAAATTCGTCTCCTTTTCGTTTAGTTTTTCTTTTCACTATAATCTTTGCGACGGGGTTTTTTTTTTTTTTTTTTTTTTTTTTTACTTTTAAGGTTTTAAGGTTTTAAGGTTTTTTTACGTCTTTTTTGTTTTGTTTTGAAATCGTAAAATTACAATGTTGATTAAAACACATTCATTATACATATAGCGAACAACACGCAATATTTTTTTTTTTTTTTTTATATTGTTTAACATTTGATTTTTTTTACTTTACTTTACTTTACTTTACTTTACTTTACTACCTTTTTGTAAAACTTTACCTAAAAACACGACAAACTTTTTTGTTTTTTGTTTTTTAACATTAAAAATTATCAAAATATAACCGGGTTTTTTTTTTTTTTTTTTTTAATAAACATTCGAATCGTAACAAATAATTTGCTAGTATCATTATTATTATCAGACGAATTAATATGTGTTATTAAATTATAAAACTTTTTTAGTCAGCAACGCGAGAAAATCACTTGAGTTTATTGCTATTGTTTTGTTTTTGTTGCAACATAAATAATGGCGAAAAAGTACATTTATTTATTTATTTATTTTAAAAATGGTGTGACTTGTAAGCCTTTTTTGCAGTGGTGACAAAGTAAAAAAAAAAAAAAAAAAAGTAGATTTGAAAAATTAATAATAATAATAATAATTCACATTTCTGTTTATAAAACGTTTTCTCTATAAATATCGATTCTACGAAAATTTTCTTGACATGAGATATTTAACAGTTATTATGAACACAATTGAAAACTTGGGGGGGGGGCGGGGGAAAATTTTTGGTTTTTTTTTTTAATTATCATCATCTTGATCGGCTCCGAGTTTTCCATTCTGAGCATCGGCGTCAAGCATTCCCGGGGGTATAGGGTGTTTACGAAGTTCTCCTTTACTTAAATGGTTCACTATACCCGCTCCGAGAGAGTCACCTAATACGTTAATAGTCGTTCTAAATCTATCGAGAAGCCAATCACAAGCAATAATTAGTGTTACGTCTTCGGCGGGGAGTCCCACGGTGTCCAAAACCATAACCATCGTTACCAAGCCAGCTTGGGGTATTCCGGCTGCGCCTATACTCGCGGCAGTTGCCGTTATAGACACAGCGATAACTTGACCCAAAGAAAGAGAAATACCTCGAACTTGCGAGATAAACAAAGCGGCAACGGCTTCGTACAAAGCGGTGCCGTCCATGTTTATGGTCGCTCCTATGGGCATGACGAATCTCGCGACACGCGGATCAACTCCGTTTTTGTCTTCCAAACAACCGATGGCAATGGGTAGGGTCGCCGAGCTAGAGGCAGTTCCGAAAGCAGTCGCAAGAGCCTCTCCCATGTTTCCGATGTAGCGGAAAGGAAGAGTTCTCGTGACGATTGAAAAAATTGTGGGTAGGATGACGAAACCGTGAACCAAGAGTCCGACCAAAACCGTCATGAAGTACATTCCCAATTGACCGATGATGACTTCGAAACTTTCCATTTCTAAAATTTTTGACGACACTAAAAAGAAGACTCCGATCGGCGAGACCCAAATGACCCATCCGGTAATTATCATCATGCAATGTCCGAGACAGCTGAAGAAATTTAGAAGAGGCGAACCTTCTTTACCCATTTTTCCAAGGGTGATTCCTAAAACGGTTGAAAATACAACCAAACCGAGAATGTTGGTTCCGTCAGCGTATTCGTGAGATATTTCCCATTCCATGATAGGTGCTAGAGTGCCGTTGGGCAAAGTTTGAGGTTTTAATACTGTTCTGTATTGAGATATGCATGCCTGAACTAAATTCGGCGGGAACATGTTTCTAACGAGGTCCATAAGAGTGTCGGCCGTCGTGACATTTCTCGAAGATCCAGCCCTCACGATCGACGAAGAATCACCCTGACCGGGATGTATTGCAATGACCAATATGATACCTTCCACGACCGCAATCATGGTTGTCGTCATGTAAAAAAACACGGCTCGTCCACCTATTCTACCGGAAAGACTTAAATCCAAACTACCGATAGCGGAGACTAGAGATGCAACAATTAGTGGTAAAATCAACGATTTTAACATTCGAAGAAACAAATCTCCGATGTATTGAACATACATAATTTCTCTTGCCGGCCATTTTGTTTCTCTAGATGTCCGAAGAATAATTCCTAAGACGGCACCACCGACAACTCCGAACACGGTCAAAAGTGTTAAAGCGTTTTTACGAAGACACGTTTTAACTTTTTCTCGTCCCGTTGGAGGCATTTTAACTTTTTTTTTTTTTTTTATTATTATTATTATTATTTTAAAGTTTTTTTTTTAAAAAATTATTTTCACTCTCTGATAAAACAAACAATAAAAAAAAAAAAGTTATCGTCGTCGTTCGATTTCGGAATTACAAAAAACGAAACTTTTTTTTTTTTTTTTTTTTTTAAAACAAACAAACTTTCCGACGAATATTAAAAACGGAAAAACAACCGAAAAATAATAATAATAATAATAATAATAATAATAATAATAAAGAAACGTGAAATTAATTAAACTTTAAAATAATAAAAAAAGGAAAAAAAAAAGCGATGACATGCGCGATTATATAAAACCACTTGTATTCACGGCTTTCGTACATGAGCGGATTCCCTCGACTCACCAACGCGACCAACTGAACTCTCTTAACTGTATCTCGTATATCCGTACGCCATCCATCCGCAACTTCGTTTTACGCATCTCGTTCCACGACCTCGCTTATAGTTTTTCCTCCCGTTTTCCTCGCTTTATTTTATTTATTCGGCATATCTTAAAGCGCTTTTTTGTGATCAATTCTTTACTTTTATATTTTTCTCGTTTAAAAACAAAAGTGGTGGGGGTATATCACTCTCTCTCTCTCTCTCTCACGCACGCACGCACACGCACGCGTAATTTTATTATTATTATTTATAAGTTTAGTCTAAACTATAAAAGAAAAACTAATCGTTCGGCCATTTTTTTTTACAAACGACCGGAAAATGTTACTTTATATTATTATTATTATTGTTATTTGATGACGTCGTTTCCCCCCCTCCGATTTAAATTATTTATTTATTAAAAAAAAAAATGTTTTTTTGGGGGGCTAATTAATTTGATAGAGAAGTATAATAATAATTTATTAATTTATTGTACGAATATCAAATTAATGAAATGAATTTTTTTTTCTTTTTTTTTTTTTGGGGGGGGCCTCTCCTCTTCATTAATTTTCAAGTAGGTGGTGGTGGTGGTGGTGGTGGTTTTCATTTGGAAAATTAATTTTCTTTTTTTCTTTTTCTTTCTTTTGCGATAATTGTCGTCATTTTGAAAATTAATAAATTTAAAAGAATGAAGGATAAAAGTCGTAATAAAATTTTGTTTTTTGATGTCGTTGCGTAAATTTTAAAAAGGTGGGAATCCCCTGTTAATTTGATTTGATTTTCTTTTTTCTCTCTCTCCTCTTCCTCCTCCTCCTTCCCCCCATTCGACGATTTTTCCCACAAAATTTTTTTTATCCTCTTTGTAATACGAATGATTTTGATTAATTAAAGTCAGACACGTTTCGACTGTTTGAATGACTTACTTACGACGAAAAAGAAAAAAAAAAAAAAGGAAAATTCAGCAAATAATAAAAGCTTAATCATCAGACACAGAATTTACCTACGTTAGATGGGGGGCAGGAAGCGGGGAGCGGGGGGTGGGGGCGAGCGAGCGAGTATTCATTAGAAAAGAGTTTGTTGAATTTTTTTTTTTTTTTTACGGGAAATGACAGAAAAAAAAAAGAAATTCGTTCGCTTTCTTACGTGTTTTTAAATTATTCGTTATTGTCTAGCGCCCCGTTTTTTTTTTTTTTTTTTTCATAATTTCACCTTATCGTTGTTCATGTAATTAATGTATTTAAAACAAAAACTTGGCTAATTGTGCGATTTGTAAATTTTTTTTTTTACGAAACGTTTCCAATTAAAAAAAAAAAAAAAGAATTTCTTCAATAATTTTAATTAATTTAATTTAATTTAATTTAATTCAAATTTTTTTTTTTTGCTTTGAAAAATTATTTATTAAAATGGTGGCAGTTATTATTATTAATTGATTTCGATTTTTTCGTTTGTTTGTTTGTTCGTTTGTTTTGTTTGTTGATTTTCCAACAACTCGTCGTTGAATTTTTATTATTATTATTATTATTCTGTTTTATTAGCTTAGAATTGCATTAAATTATAATTTAGTAGGTCAATTTTTACTAAATGTTAACCAGGTCATCATCATTATTATCATCATCATCATCATCATCATTTAATAAATGAATTTTCTCTTACGAGATAATGATAATTGTTGAAAAAAAAAATTGTAATTATTATTATTGTGAATGGATTACTATTATTACTCTTGTTGTTGTTGTTGTTGTCGTTGTTGATTGTCATTTTGTCTTCTGCTTTTTTTCTTTTTAAATGTTGGGGGGGTGGGGTAGGAAAAACAAAAAATGATGAAATTTTCGAGTTGTTATTATTAGCGTTAAGTGACAATTGAATAATTATTACGAATTCGAACAGTTGGTTTTTTTATCAAACGCAAAAGGAAAAGAATAATTAAAAAAATTTTCTTTTTTTTTTGGGGGGGTCCGTTTTTAATTATTTTTTCATTTGCGTCGTATAAAAATTTATGACTGACCTCAAAATTAAAAATTGAAAAATTGTTACATTTAAGGATTTTTTTTTTTTTTTTTTTACCTCCTCTGACGATGTTTTTTGCAAACGCCCACAAATTGTTCACACGAGGCAATTAAGAAAAGTTTGTTTGGGGGGGGGGGGAGAGTGGCAGAAAGAATTCGTCATTTTGTTCGTTGCCATTGTTGTTGTTGTTGTTGTTGATGATGTTTTGAACGGGATGAAATGATTTATTTATTTATTTCCGTTTCGAGTTACGTGTACGATTGATTGTAATAATAACCATCATCATTATGGTGATTTTTTTTTAGAAAAAAAAAACTAAAGTTATTAATGTTTTGTTTAACATCATAATCGAGTAGTCAATAATGATGATGATGATGATGATGATGATGATAATGATGATGAGACGCGCACCACCCTCGTGAAAAGTATTTTAAAATTAAAAAAATTTTTTTTTTTTTCGATGTCGAACAAACAATTTAATTAACTTCTCCTGTCGTCCTTTTGACATTTTTCAACTCTCTCTCGCGCATTTTCCCTCTCTCTCTCTCTGTTTTTTTTCCGACCGATATTACCCCCCCCCCCCATAACGATTGTAGCAGGTACCCGCACGGTAGAAGGAAAATGCTTTTCGTACCCACGTGGTCTCGATTAAAATTTTCATTTTTCTCATTCATTAAAAAGTTTTTCATTGACGAAAACTAATAAGAATGTTTTATCATTATTATCATTATTATTATCATTATTATTATCATTATTATTTGTTAAATTTTCGAGTAATTAAGCCACGGCGAATAGGGAAAAAGAAAAAAAAATAAGTAACAACAACGTAAAACCTCGTTCTGTTTTCTCTTATCCGTTTCCGGTGTCAAAGTTTTTTTTAAAGGAAAAGAGGGAAGGAGGGGAGAGGAGGGGGCAGGGGAGGGAATGGGAAACATGACGAAAGAATTTTTGTTTTTTTTTTTTGTTATTTTAATTTGAATTTTATTTTTCTTTTCGAAAAAAAAAAAGAAAAAATTAAAACAAAGAACAAGAAATACATTGTTTGTTGTTTTCCGTGCGACGTTTTTTTTTTTTTTTTTTTGTTTTCCCAACGATTGATTCACGTTATTATATTCGTCTCACCGTTTGTTTTTTGGGGGGGGGTGGATGGGTTGGGGGGGTTTGATTTTTTATTTTGTTATTTTTTTGTCCCGAATTTTTTTTTTTTTTTTTTCCCTCTAGCAAACAATTCATTAAAAAAATTTTTTTTTGAATTTTTTTTTTTTTTTTTTTTTTATTAAGTCTCAGGTTCCAGTTTTGCCAACATCGAAATTGTCGAATCGAATTCGATTGACAGTCGATTTTTTAAAAAAAAAAGTAATTTTATTTGGCTTCTTTTTTTTTTTTTTAAAGGAAAAAAAAGATATAAAAATTTGATTTTTATTTTTTATTTAGGAAATTTAGTTTATCGATTGATTTTGTGTCAAATAAAAAAAAAAAAAAAAAAAAGTTTTCTCCCCCTTTTTATACACCTTTGATTTTCGGTTTTTTTTTTTTTGTGGGGGAAAAAAAAGGAAAGCGGGGGGTAGTGTGTGGGGGTGGTTTAAAAGTTTATTTGAAAAATTATAATTAAAAATAAATAAATAATAATAATAATATTTTATATTAAAAAAAGAAAAGAAAAGAGAAGAAAATTATTATTATTTTTTTTTTTTTCATTTCGTTTATTTTTTGTGTTTTCCGTTTGAAAATGACGTCAGTTTCCGGTACTTTTTTTTTATATTTTTTTTCCATCGGGAAATTTCTTTTTACTTTCATTTTCTTTTTACTTTTCTTTTTTCTTTTTTCATTTTTCATTTTTGATTTCGATTTTGGAAAAGTTGACAATAGAAAATGTCTTAATCATGTTGATCATTCGATTTTATTTTTTAAACAACTCTCGCATTATATCGTTTAAGCTCATTTAATTTAACTAAAACAATAATAAATAATAATAATAATAATAATAATAATAATAATAATAATAATAATAATAATAATAACAAAAGCATTTTATTAAATGCGTTTCATTTGCCAATTAATAATAATAAAAAAAAGGAAAAAAAATGAAGTTAAGGTCTCGAACTTTAACTGACTTCTAATTGGCTTAAATGTTTCACATTATTATTATTATTTTTAACTTTTTTTTTGTGTTATTAATTCATCATTTATGTGTTGAGTTTTTTTAAACTAGTTTGAATAATTGTTTTTGAATAGGCTTTCCTGTATTAGAAATATACGACAGACCTTGATGATATCATTTTTGAACAATTTTTGTTTGTTTGTTTGTTAGGAAAATGCAAAAGTAGACACAGACGGTTTGTCTCTCATTTGTATTTATTGCGATTATATTATTATTATTATTCTTTGAGAAGGAAGGACGCAAGGGACAAATGAAAGAGAGAGAGAGAGAGAGAGATTGATTGCAAAATGGAGTTGGTTGATGATAAGAAAGGTTTGGGTGATTATGCCCTTAGGGTCAAAAATTGTTTTTTAATACGATGGGGGGTAGGTACGAAATACCTGAAAATAGTTTATCGATCGATTGAACCAATTTGGATAAGTAAGTGTGATACGTACGTACCTTGGAGAGGAAGAAAAAAAAGTCGTGGGTTCGAATACGTTAAATTTTTTTTTCCTTTTTTTTTTGTTTTTTTTGTTTTTTTTTTTTTTTTATTACGGGGGTTGGTAGCGCGTTCAGGTGTATGACAAAAGCAGAAGAAAAATTTTGTTTATTTACATTACGTAAGAGATGCGGATATAACGATGTATTTAACTCATTTTTATTTTAGGTTATGAATTAATATGTTAATGATTTGTCAGTTACGCTTTGTTGATTACAAATTATTATTATCATTTTCCGATTAAAAATAAAATAATAATAATTATTATTATTATTCTGATTTGGTTAAAACAAGTTTTTCTCGTTTTTCCTCTCGCGTTAAAAAAAAATTTAAATGGAAATAACTTTGTTGGATTTCGTAAGATGTAAGAGTTTCGCAAAAAAAAAAATATGCTCGAGATATCAAGGTATCAAGGTTTTTTGTTTGTCGCGGATAAATTACCGCCCTCAGGTTTTTTTTTTCTAAATGGAAATGGGGGGTTAATTAATCGGTGATGATTTTTAAGTAGTTAAAAAAAAAAAAAGGAAAATTTTTAAACGATGAGTAAACGAGAGCAAAATCGTCATTTCAAAAAAAAAAAATAATGAACGTTAAGCTCAAATCTCTCTCTCTCTCTCTCTCTCTCTCTCTCTAAAGTTTATGTTCGTTACGTAATGGAAAATTATCGTCGATTTGAATAAAAAAAAAAAAAAGAAAAGTTCAAAGAAAAAAATAATAATAATAATAATAAAATGAAAAATGAAGAAAAAAGAATAATTTTAAAATAATATTGTTGTCATTGCAATCCAAATTTTTTTTTTTTCAATGTCTTTATTGATTTTTATTCATCGGTTTTCTTCTTTTTTTTTTTTTTTTCTCGTAAATTTATATTCTTTTTTCCCTCGAAATAAAAAAATTCAAGAAAAAGCAGTAGAAGAGAAGGAGGAGAAGAAGAAGAAAAAAAAGATTATAAGAAAAAATTAAATCATTTTATAAAAATGACATAATGTGGAGAGAGAAAAGAAAAAAAAAAAGAAAAAAGGAGAAAAACGTCAATGACATTTTTTTTTTTTTTTTTAAATAAATTTTTAAAATAAATATTATTTAATTCTTTTTTTTAAAATGTCAAAAATTTATGTATTTTTTTATTTTTTGGCAAATTGATTTGGTTTATTAAATTTAAAACGTCTTTTGACAAAAAATAAAAAATATATTTAATTAAAAAAAATAAAAATAAAAAAATAAAAATTTTGTTTCGCGTTGAATTTTCGATATTGAAATTTCACCTTGGATATATATCGATATTTTAAAAATATTTAGTAAAAATATGATTTTTTTTTTTATTTTTTATTTTTTGACGGTTGGCAAGACTGAAAATTTTAAAAACGAAATTTTTTCTTATGTGAAAATTAGGGTTGTTTTCATGAGTTTTTCCTTATTTTTTCTTTTTTTTTTCCTTTAAAATTGAGTTTAAATTTAAAATTTTTGATTTATTAATTTAAATTATCAAATCGATTTTCCTCTCTCTCTCTCTCTCTCTCTCTCTCTCGTGATCAATCATTTTAAAATAATTTACGGTTGTTAATAATAATAATAATAATAATAATAATATGTGGTGTGTGTGTGTGTGCGCGCATATAAATAAAATGATTAATTTTTATTATCATAATCGAAGAAAAGAAAAAAAAATTAAGTAAGTCAGTTATATAGTAAATTCTTTTTAAATGACATCAAGTGTGACAGCACACATTAAATTCGACGTGGTGATTATTTCAAAACGATTTTTATTATTATTATTATTATTATTATTGTTATGATGATGATGATGATGATGATGATGATGATGTAGTTGGAGTCGAAGCAATTAATTATTTCAATTTTTTTTTTTAATTTTTTTTTAATTTTTAAAATTTTTTTAATTTTCAGGAATCGTATGAAAGGGAGAACGACTCTATGGGTACCCGGGAGCGATCACGCAGGTATCGCGACTCAAGTCGTCGTTGAAAAAATGCTTTGGAAAGACGAACAAAAAACTCGTCACGAAATCGGACGGGAAAAATTCATACAAAAAGTTTGGGAATGGAAAAACGCGTAAGTTTTCTTTTTTTCTTTTTTTTTTTTTTTTTTCCCTCCACTTCTTCTTGTTTAATGAGTTTCGAGATGAGACAAAAAGGAAAAGAAAAAGAAAAACGGAAAATGGGAAACGCGTTTTCACGCTGACAACAAAATTTCCAAGACGTTTTTTTTTTTTTTTGCTGACACTTTGGTAGTTGGTTAGTGACACGTCGTTTAAAAGTTTTCGTAACGATGAATAAAAATGTTTTGTCGTCCGTTTAAAATTTGTTCTCACTTTTACTTGTTTTTCTTTTTTTAAACGATTTCGATCGAATTTATATAATTATTATTATTATTATCATTATTATTATTATTATTATTATTATTATTATTATTATTATTATTATTATTATTATGTCCACTATTAAACACGACAAGGCTCTTATTTGTCGGGGTTTTTAAGTATTTATCCCAGGTTTCTACCCGATTCCTCAGGGACAAATACTCGAATTTCGGTGGTGCTACTTATAATATTTTCCGAAGAATGTGGGCCGTCCCACATAGTGCGATTTCCTGGATGGTTTCTTCTTTTAGGTTCTTCATAATCTTCTTTAAATTTCCTTTCATTGAATGTGGCATGGCTCCCAATGCTCCCACGATGACCGGAATCGTTTCTGTTTTTGTTCCCCACATCCTGGTTATTTCGATTTCCAAATTTCTATATTTCAGCCTTTTGTCTGCTTCTTTGGCTGTCTGGTGTTTTTTTCTGCCGGCACGGATACCTCAATTAACTTACACCATTTTTCCGCATTATGCCTGAGTATGATATCCGGTTTGTTAGCTGGCACAGTTCTATCAGTGTGGATTTGTTGATCATATAGAACTGTGCATGGACCTACTGTCGTAACCGGGCTTGGAATGTGGTTGTACCACTCCTTGGGTAATCCATCCATTCCATATTCTCGGCATATACTCCA